GGGTAATTTACAAGTAAGTGTTCTATAATAATCGTGGTGTTACAAGAGTACCATGGCATAGCAATGGGATCACCTTGAGTTGTGCCTTCTTGGGATAATATTTCTTTACCTCCTGCCACAAAGAGCCTCGATGGATTTCGATAAGTATTGATTAAGTAAATTGAAATTAATGGATAAATGATCTGGATGTTGTGTAAGACGACTTGTCAATTCATACAATTAAAAGCGTTCTTTGCGTCAATCAAAAGTATTGCATCTGTTTGCACATTGTCGAATATTTCCTTAATAGCATGTACAGCCGCTTTGGCTCCTGCCCCATGTCCAGCACATATTTGTAACGGCCCGGCTGCCTCTTTTATCTCACTATTGAAACTCCAGCTAATTACTTAACCTATGATACGCCTTAGTACTTATCCTACTCCAAATGGCCTAATACCTGGATTTTTATCTAGAGGAATTAATCGACAAGCAGTGTATGCTTCTAGAAATGTTGGTTCATATGTTTCTGTTAGTAAGTTTTGCGTCATTTTAGCAATTTCTTTTCGGAGTTCTTTACCTTCTTTGATGACGTTTTTAGAACATAAGACGCGGCGATAAATATCGGAATCCATTCTTGATGGTCCAGCAGATCCTTTAGTTGCAAATGCTGCTTTCATAATTAGTTGCTCATCAATACAATCGAAACATTTTGGGATTAAATCAATCGGACCAAACAGTAAGCTATAATCTTCTACTCACGAGGGTTCAGGGTGTTTGCTTTTAAGGTCTTTTAATGTGTTGTCCGATAGTGGTAGTATGCCGGATGATGCTTCTTTTTCTAAAAATTTCAGCGCTGCAGTGATTTTGCCTTCCATAATTAATTTGGCAAATATTCTAGATATATCGTCCATAGATCTTTTATTTTTAGAGTTTAAAATTTTTTTTTGTATATTTCTAACTTCTTTTAACAGTAAACCAGTATCTCCTTTTTTTTCAAAGGTCAATCCTACGAGTTAAATATAATGTATGTTCTTTGGACTTTGATTTAGCGGAGGGTTTTCGCAAAAGAAGATTCGGCAAAATCATTGTAACTTTCAGCGCATTAAAGTTAAATTAGAGGCGGAATTAAACTTTCTTAACCAAAAGGTTAGCTCCTCCATAAATTCTTTACCTGCCTTTCCAGATGGAATGTTGAAAAAATTTCTTCGGTAATTTGCGATCTCATCATAGGTAGAATCCACAAACAATTTAAATTGTTGATATGAGTATATTCCCCACGTGACATTGTTATTTGAAACTGGTAGATGGTTCATTATTTCAGGCAAGAAAGGAACATTTTTAAAATTCTCATTAAATGAATGGTTTGTTGTTTGAGAAGGAAGCTCAGGTAGTTTTCTGCAAATTATATGTGATGTTATACTATGGGTGTCATTTTCATAGAAGACAGTGAGCTTACGGGTGTCGTTTTTCTAGAATACGTAGGTGTTAATGTGTAGTCCTTTTTTTGATTAAACGCTAAATTATTAGACGAAGTGGATGCTATTATAATGTCGTTTTGTTTTTTAATTGAGGGTGTTACTTTAGTATTTGGTTCGAGTGTTAAAGAGGAATTAGTTTTTTGTAGACTGAGTATTTGCAAAGTATTCTTTTTACATTTTAAAATATGACGGTTTGTTCCGTATATTGATTTAAGTTCTACTTTACAGTAAGGGCACACATGAGGTATAGTAGCTTTGCTGCTGTTCATTGTACTTGTTAAGAAAAGTTTTTGTTTTTTACAATTAAGAAATATTTTGTTTAACTAGATATTTTATTGTTAACTGCGAATAAAGACGATTAAATATTTTCATACTAAATAATATTTTGGGTGAACATGTAACTATTTTTTACGGTTGGTTGCACTTTAGTTTACAGTTTTATAATAAAAAAATTCAAAAGTTGAAAAAACAAAAATCTAGTAAAACCCTTCGTCTGTGAAACACTGAAATAAGATTTGATATAAAAACTAAAGAATTTCTTTAAGTTTAATAATATTAAAACGATTTTTGTTATAATAAAATTTTTTTTTTTTTTTTTTAATTTATTGGTAATAGTAAACAAATTATTTTTGTACTACGAATCGTAGATTAATGTTGCAGTAAAAAATACTAATTTTGATTGAGGTAAGCTACGTGGTAGAATAATATACTAAGCAGAGTAGGCTATGTAAAAAACTCTGATTGAAAAGCTCAGATCTTAAATTTAACAGTATTATGCCATAAATAAACAATTTTTTTTTTTTAATTAACGAATTATAACAAACAAAAGATTTGAATTTATAACCCTAGTGCAGGCGGTACCAGATACAATGTATTTAAAAGTTACCAACAATGTTCTGCTGTAAATAAACGACTTTAATAAGACTTTTACTCCATCTAATATTCCTATCCTTTTATTCCATTTCAAAACTCTCATTCAAAACTCATAACATTTCAAAAATAACAACATTTCAAAAATAACAACAACTCATAACTTTAAAACATAATCTCTTTAAGGATTATAACTTTGAATTAAGGATTATAACTTCAACTTATAACTACAGTGCCGGATCAAGAGGGGGCTAGGGGGGACTATAGCCCCGGGCCCCGCAAATTTAGGGGCCACCAAAATTTTTAGAGAACCTTTTTTTTTTTTTTTTCAAGTCATTTTTAGGCTCTGGCCCATAAAAAGGACTCCAAAAACAAAAATAGCCCCGGGCCCCAAGAAGTCTGCATAAGTATTACATATATATATATATATATATATATATATATATATATATATATATATATATATATATATATATATATATATATATATATATATATATATATATATATATATATATAATAGTTAAATTAAGGATTATAACTTTAAAAGAATACCTTTTTTAATTCCAATTTTCTCAAAACATTTACATTTTTTGTTTATTTTTGTTGTCATCTTATTCACGTAAACAATGTTTGGTACAGTACAAATAAAAATAAAATTAAAAAAACTATATAATAAATAAAAGCATGCAACTAAAATCATTTCTATCATGGGCCGTTTTACACCTTTCCAACCATTATTTACTATGTCTAAAATAATGAATATCTACCAAATAAATATATAGTATCTCCTTATATTTATGTTAAAAACTAATAAAAATATATCTTCCAAAATATTTTACCCACTATTCAAAATAAATTAGAACAGATACTTAACCAGATTCTCAAGTAACAGTTTCAGCATAAAAGTTATTATCTGGCGACTGAATTTTCAATTTTTATTAGAGGAAAAAAGCCTATTAACTTATAAATTTAAATCAATTGTAGCGCTTTATGAATTTAATACCAAGTTGACGCAAAAACTATTGATGAGCGACGTAGTGCTGGGCTTATTCTGATGAATTACGGGTTGTTACTGGTAAGCTTACCCAACGTTTAGAGGTTTGTCGTTGCCAACTTAGTGATCTTAGAAAGTATCATGTCACTTGTAATTGCATCAATTTTTCTTTTATAAAAACTTACGAGTTATAAAAACTCTGACACTTATAAATATTTAGAGGAAGATACTGATTTAAAAGAGAAGCTTCAAAATTGTGCGTGTTTGCCTCCATACTTTTTAATAATATTACACTAATTTTTTTTTACCATTGCATTTAAAATTATTTTTAGGCAATATTTGAAAATAAAAAGGTTTAAAAACTGCTTAAAGTCATAAAGAAAAATAGTCAATTTTTTTAAATTGAGTTTTTTTTTAGTATACCATTCGATTCCAAATTCATTATTCTTTCGGAAAATATATACACTTTGCATAAAATACCTAATTTTTTATATATCTTAATTTTTTTTTATTGTTTAGTTTCATTTTATTCTTAATAATTCCTTTTTATCACAAATTATTAATCATTGCTTTCATAACTTTTTAATTTTAATCTGTTTTGCAACTTCAAACCTTATCTTGAGAATTAGCAACTTCAAACCTTATCTTGAGAATTAGAAATATATCTTTATAAAGATATCTTGAGATTTAAAAAAGTTTTTTGACTGAAATTGTTGTACAAAAATGATCAACTAAGAATAGTTTTATGATTTTTTATAACACTACACCTGTATTTTTATGTATAAATTAGTGGTTAAAAGTATTGCGATAAAAAGCGATTAGCAGTATTGATATAGAAGTATTTTTATGTATAAATTAGTGATTAGAAGTATTGCGCTCTGTTTCTGATATTTTAATTATTTTTTCATTGTTTTAGTAGAAATGAATGATAATAATATAACAAAGCTATAAACAAATTATTGAGTTTCAACCAAAAATCAAGAAACAGTTTTTAAATTTTTTCAAATTTGCCCTGTTTACCTCTTGGTTTTGTTGAAATTTACTTTAAATATAACATATTTATAGTTTTTATGAAATATTTAGTTTCTTATATCATCAAAAGTACAATGAAATGTTTATAAATCGTTACAATTTCTTGGTTTTGTTGAAATTTACTTTAAATATAACATATTTATAGTTTTTATGAAATATTTAGTTTCTTATATCATCAAAAGTACAATGAAATGTTTATAAATCGTTACAATTTCTTCTATTAATTTTTTTTTTTAATTTTTTCTTAATGAACCTTCTTAGAAGTAGAAAACTAGGACCTATGATTTTTATTTATATCTATATGAGAATTTTTGAGCAATATTTAAGTTCTTTTGGCATATCGTTCCTTGCCGTATCTTTATGAAAACGTTTTATATTATATAGTGTTAAAATTAGAAGGCTCGGCGATAAGACAAATCATATCTTCCTGCTTTTTGTATTCATATTATGCTTTACTGTTCGAATAAATTTTTACGACAAAAAAACAACAACAACAACAAATCAATATGTACCGTTTTTAAATGTTGAAACATAATTATTTTGGTTTAAATTTATTCTTCATAAAAACGTTTTAGTATTCATTTATTGATTGTATTCATTTTCATTACCATTTAATTTTTCAAACTATTAAATTTTCTTTTCAGCTTAAAAAAATGTACAAAAACACACGTTCATATCGCTGGGATGAGAATAAATCGTTTCATCGACGCGATGATACATCATCCCGCCAACTCGATGAAAAATTGATTAAAAAAAATTGGTTATTTAAGAATAAAAAAGAGTTGATTACAAACTTCGAAAGAAATGATATAACATTGGATTCAAATGGTTTCGTGGATAACTTTGTATCTATTGGATCGTATAACTGGGCTCGACAGAGCACACCGGATAAACCAGTAATTATAGTACCTGGTATACCCAATTATATTAAAGAAAATCTAGTTTGTCAAAAGCTTAAAAAGAGCGATGTTCAACGTGTATGCGATGAAAATCAATATTATATGAGTAAGCATCCAATGGAACCTATGTTTCAAGCTGTTTTACTGTGTACTCCTGAATACGATTTTAGCTCGGTTGATTTGATAACTGATCGTATCAACTTGCGTAAATTATTCGAGTTTGTTGAAGGTAATTCAAAAGATTCATTTCGAATTGACATTCAAATGAATGAAAATGATACGTTGATACTTATTCGCAACGATGAGAACGTCATTTTGCCGTGCCGAGACTATAGTATTGATTTTAAAACCAAATTTACAGAAAATGGGTCACCTGAAGCCGGAAGTTGTTGGAATATTGTCACTTATATGTTAGGTAGTATACGTGTAATGTGTCAAGCTCAAGTAGATTGCGTTGAAAAAAATAGTTGTTCAGTTCACGCAGAGTTACTGCCAAAAAAAAAAGAACCGATTGCATTTGATGAAAGTTCTAAATTAATGCTGATTGAAGGTGGAGATTTTGACAATCAAAAGTATGAAAAATTTATTGAATTAACAACAAAAGGTATCTATATGAATAATTACGAATTTCCTACGAATAAATGGAGTCATTTATTGTTTTTCAACATAAATATTATGGTTTTTGGTTGGCATGAGAGGGGGGTTTTAAAAAAAATTGAAAAGATTTCATTTGAAGAAGTGTCTGAAAGGTGTAATCGTAAAGAAGAGGAGTATCAACAATCATTAGGGAAATTGTGTTCTTTGATTAAGATGATAAAAGAAAAAATAAAAAGCTGTGCGGAACACAAAAGTGGTTTTGCTGTTGTCTTTGATGGCAATAACGATAAAAAGTCACTGGAATTATTTACGGTTTGCAAGAATTTTGATGTTCTTACCCCTGCTTTGAAGATGAAGGTTTTCAAATAAGCCTTACTTTTACAAAAAATTATTTGATTTTTGTGTTATACATTATTTTTCATTATGACATTTTTTAGCATAAGTTTAACTTCATTAAACAGCGTTTTAGCTTTTATAATATACAACATCCCTGCGTAATAAATTCAGAATCATGTTTACTTTATATTCAAAAATGTTGCTAATATTAAATCATATTGAACTGCGTTTAAATTAGCCGAATTGATTTAAATATACGTTTTGTAATTTAATACAACTGGTCTTAATAATAACATTAACACATTTTTTTAACTGATTTTGACCTCTTTTTGGAAAGATCACTTTCACTTGTATACTTGACTGATATAAACTTTTTCAGAAACTTTTTTTTTCATTTCTAAAATTACTTTAACTACCAAAGCAAACTGTCTACCACTACCTCACTACCGCTTTACTACGTTTACTGTTATTACCACTATTATTACCCTATTTCTACAAAATTAAATGGTTTAGATACTTTATGTTGAATAAAATTGGAACTAGTAAATCAAATTGTGAAAATTATTTTTCGTTATAACATTTTGTGGTTTTTATATTATTAACTGTAACCTTGTATTTTAAAAGATGATAAAATAGTTAACACGTTTCTTGAAACGTTTGAGTTTGAAACATCTTAATTTTATCATCTAATTTATCATCTCGTTAATTATTTTATCATCTTTAAAAGATGATAAAATAATTAACACGTTTCTTAAAACGTTTGAGTTTTAAGGCAACTAGAGCCGTGGCTAGGTAACCCCACTTACTTTTATTGAGAGAGAGGGTGGGGAGGCAGCGACCTTATGAAACCCTTTAGCAAATTTAAAGAAATTTTTATTTTTTTGTTTTAATGAAACCTAGTAAAAAAAAATTTAAGAATTTGAGAACCTTAATGACAGTTTTTCGAGGAGGGGAGGGGAGGGAAGGGATAATCACTTATAATCTTTCCGTTATCACTCATAGAAATATATAGTTTGTTTGTTTTGCTATTTATTATAAATACAATTTTTATATACATACATTTACAACAAAATAAACTGATGAATGTATGTCTAGGGTGGAATGCAAGAAGCAAACTTGACTTGAACTTTATTTTGTAACCAATAGCGGCAGAATATTTTTTGAGGGGAAAACCATACTCTGTCGCTATTGGTTATAATGTAAAGTTCAAGTCGAGCTTGACTCAAGTTTGCTTCTTGCATTCCACCCCTAATCACAAGGCCCCATTTTCATAAAACCGTGATTTACAAATATCTTATAATATATATATATATATATATATATATATATATATATATATATATATATATATATAGCATAAAATACAGTAATATATAATATGTAAAATAGAATATAGCAAATAGCATTGTTTTATATAAGTTTTAATGCATAAAGAAGCAAATAATTGCTAAACTACTAACATTTTCTACAGTAGAAAAAGGTAATATGATCAATAAACTTTGTTATACCGGTTTTTGTATATAATCTGGTAGTTTTTTGCATTTAATCTGGCGGTTTTTTGCATTTAATTTGGCATTTAGTCTGGCGTTTTTTGCATTTGTTTTGGAAGATTTCTTTTATTATAACAAATAGTTTTGCTTTTATTGTCTTGTTCAATTTTACATTTTTATATACAATTTAAGCCTTTTTTTCTCTTTAATTTTTTTAAACTTTAAAAAGTATGATGCTCGAAGACAATGCACACTTTTGCTTAGAAGTGAGACTACAATACGACGTCTGGTCCACCAATCTACATCAAAGATAATATTAATCCTGGTGCTAAAGATAGTTTTAACAGTCAGGTTGTAAATTATTTGAAGATAACAGAAACTGTAATCTACAAAATATAAAAGTAGAGTTGGATGTTGATGTCAATGTCTCTACAATACGGTAATGGTTGTAAAGACTAAATTATATATATAAAATTTTAATACCCATTAGTGAAAGACTTCATTTATTTAAACTTGACATTGCTACAATGTTACAAAAAATTTTTTTTATTAATAAAGGTCCGTTTAATCTTCAATTGATAAGCAACCACGGATAAAATCTCCGAGGAACGACCCAAAATCAAAGGGTATCGTCATCAAATGGTCTTAACATAACTATGATATTAGCTGTAAATTTTTTAAACATATTACACAACAAAGCTATAATTAGTGTAGGGGTGACAGCAGATATATTTAGAGGATTCTTAAATACGCCTAAAAGCGTATAGGAGGTGAAAAAGAGATTACTTTGGTGATGGGCAACGTTAGCTTTCATCATTCATTATCAGATTTTTATAATATTTATCACTCTGATGTTTGTTTTCACCCCAATACTCACTTTTTGTAAATTCTTGTGAAGAAATATTCTCAAAAATTAGGAAAGTACAAGAGGAAAATTTGTTCCAATCGAAAATAACGATTTATCAGAACGATCTTTCAAACAACGCGAGACATAGCGAATCTTTTCTGACGCAATTTATTAATGGAGATGACATTAAGAGAGAGTAAAAGCCTTAATCGTTAAAAATTTGTTTTTTTTTGAGCTTGTATGCTATATATTTGTATTATATATATATATATATATATATATATATATATATATATATATATATATATATATATATATATATATATATATATATATATATATATATATATATATATATATATGTATATATATATATATATATATGTATGTATATATATGTATATATATATATATATATATATGTATGTATATATATGTATATATATATATATATATATATATATATATATATATATATATATATATATATATATATATATATATATATATATAGGTAGAACAAGCGAGGAGTGCTGCAACATTGACTAACAAATATTGACCTGCCATAAATCCTGCACCATCATACCCTTGGTCTCTACAATTTTGAATAAGTACATTTAGAGATAGACTAAGACCAAATGTCCAGTCTTGCAATCGATGAATCTTAAGAGTTCCTCGCAAATCTCCTAATTTGAATTTACATATCTTAAAACAAGTGACATTTGTTCAGTATTTGATCAGTCAACTGCTTCATAACAAAGAATTAAAAATAATATTTGATCACAAGCATCAACACAAAATTTTAAAAGCTCTATGAAGTTAACTCTTCCAACCTTTTGTGTAGAAAGTTCCCTAATATCAGGATAATATTTGGTATCATTACAATGTCCACAAAATGCTTTTTTTTCCCCTTTATTACAATCATTATTTCAATCTCTATTACAACTTTATGTGAATAAAACGTAAGACATAAAAAAGAAATAAATAATATTTACAACAAAGATTTTGTTAACATTTAAGAATTAAATAAAATTTAGGAATAAAGAATGTGGAAACTCGAAGAAGTCCGTGAGGTCTTACCGCTGGAATTAAAACGCTTTAATTAAATGTTCATCAGTATAAATTTGTAAGTTCATTTTTATTGATTTTTTGTAAATATTTATTTGCTTTTGAATTGGATCTGTTTAAATAAATAATTATAAAAACCGTTGCAACACTATATCAAAGGAATAATTAAAAATAATTAATATACTTCAGTATAATTATTGATGTGGTTTGATGACGTCATAGCGTTTTGGTGATGTTAATATAAATCCGTTTTCATTATTTTTTTTTTCAAAAAAATAAAATAATAATTGTATTGAATATTTCTTGCTTGCATTAAATTTGTAGAAAATAAAATCTAGTTAAAGTGGACATACTTGTTGATAATTAGCTCTCGTTTAATAAAGTTTTTTTTTTTAAAGTATATACCCAGCCGGCACAACTCAGAAAATAGTTACGCTTGGTTTCTGTTGCGTTTTTAAAACCTTCTAAAATAAAAAGAATAACACGTATCAAAAATGGTTTTTATTCCGTGAAATTAACTATTACTATTTACCATAAATACCAGTTAAAGTATTAATGGTTTCACAGTTATGGAAACGTAGTATCATATTGTAATGACTTTCCGTAAGGAATGTGAAATCAATGATAAAAACATGCGACATTTAAATTTGACTTTAAAACCTCAAAAAATACGTATTAAACTCTAGTAAAACTACCCGTAATATACACGTGCTTTTGGTTTACGCCTGGATCGTGAAAAACACGTGCCTATATAGGTTTTATTTCCGAAAAAGAAACTAGATGTGCCGATAGGGTATCGTGTTATATAGCGATTTTGAAAATGTATTAAGCGAATTGCGTGTTTCTGGCGATTAAAGAGTAGTCGTAACTTATCTTTGCTTGTACTTCCCCAATTATTATTGGCGAAGTATTGTTATAGGTAATCTAGCAAAGCGCATTAAAACCCAATAATTAATTTTTGGAAGTTTACTCCTTCTCTTGCATGCACATGATATTTACATAAAATCGAAGTATGCCTTTATAACACCTTAAGGAAACTATGAACTATGCGCAAGTAATAGTCTTAGGAGATATTAATGCTCAAAGTAAGAGTGAAATTTAAAGTGTAGTGGTTACAAACCATGATTTCTAGGCAATTAAAAGTGAAACGATGTTTTTTTTTTTTTTTTTAATATTAAAATCTACAGGAAAATAAAAAAAAGGAATACGTCTAAGAAATAAGTTCATGCTTCTTTCCGTATAAATTTCGTTTTTTGGCCTAGAGTCGATGTAGCAAAAGAGATTAACTCCCCCAAAAATTAACTCCCGGTTAAAACATTTTAACTCCCTGGTTAATATATTTTGAAACAAATCAGCCCCTGAGTTAAACTATTTTAAAATAAGGCGAAATGAATTATCCGGGGACTTAAATACTTTATACTCCCACCTAAATAAATTAACTTTTTTAAACAGACGTTTTATATAGTTTCGTTTATAACAAAATCAATTGACATTGTCTTTTCGGACTACAAAAATGTGTGAGTATTTTATATATATATATATAATATATATATATATATATATATATATATATATATATATATATTTTGCTATATTAGCATTAAAAAAAAAAGAGATGATAATAATAGTTTTATTTTATTTGCATGAACTATAGTAAAGTTTTCTTTTTTCATTAAACGTCATCTTTCTCAAATAAATATTTAAAAATACCTTGTTCATCTAAAGTCATTATAAATATTCACAGTTATTGAAAAAAAAAAAAAACTAATGAATTCTTTTATTTTGCATATGCTAGCTCATGAGACGTCTCATGATTACTGAATTGCAAAAAAATAACTGAAAAAATATCAACATGAATGAAAAATGTATACATTATAGATATATATCATTTAAAAATGCATTAAAGATAAAATATTATATCAAATTTGTCCAAATTTGATATAATATCTTTTCGAAGCCAATTTGAAAGCAAACAGAATAATCTTTTCGTAGCCGAATTGAAAGCAGACATTGAAATTAAATTTAAAATTATTGTTTAGGGCTTTGGCTCCTTCAGTGGTCAAAAAAACTGGTCTTCATTAGTTATTAACATATCTTTGATATGTTAATGACTAATGAAGACCAGGATAAAGTCAATCTAATGTACGGCAATAATGTACCTGGAAAAAACTATACTGACTACGCTGCATTAACAGAGTTAGAATTTTTACTAATGTGCATGTTGAAGTCTTTGACAAAAAAGTGGAAATCATTTTCAGAGACAT